GTGTAAAACTCCCCTGCAAAGGTAATGAGACTTTTAAAGCAGTGTTTTAACAGGCTTGATATGTAGAAGTATATAGGGGTTTCTACTAGGTGAAAAGGAAAATAAGTTTTTATGACTGAAAGACAAATTAATTTATATGAAGCAGACAAAGAGCTGAAACAGACAAAGAACTGATTTCTTGAAAAATTAAAGATCTGAGAAGTCTATTGATTTATCATGTAAATAATGCATAAACAACACAGCTTTTCAGTATAATAATATCCCTATGCTATAGCATTGAGCACTAAGTACTCATAGTCATGCAGACATACTCAACTATTAAGCAGAACAGTGCTTACAAAATATTTGCCGAGACTCTTTCAGAGAGAATATTGCATACTCTCCCAGATTTACTCCTTAGATTCATGAAGAATTCTAATCCCAGCTGCAGCTTTTATCCATTTTTCCTTTCACTCTGAAAACTCCTCACCCCTCCCAGGTGTGTCAAGCCACCTATCTTCTTTAAGTCCCCATCAGCACACAGTTATTTAATTGGCTTTATCAATATTAATCCAGAAAGGGATGATTAGAAAGCCAGAAAGATATCTGCACTGCTTGGAAACAAACTCATCATGTGGTTATCAAATGTATTTTGTGTCTGAAGTGTATTATTTCTCTAATTCAGAATGTGAATGCTTTGGGACAAGGATCACACCTCCCACTATTTTTTATACATCATGCATTCTGACTGCACTCAGTAAACAGCAAAACAAAAAGTCCTTACAGCAAAGTTTCTCTAAGTCACAAACACCCCTTTGATGATTGGTGTTCAATCCTTACTAAGTCATCTTTTAAACTGGTGCTTCTGATGAGGTTTACAGGTGTCCTGCCTTCACTCCATTCTCTGCTATTCCACTATGCTGCCAGTTAAAAGGAAAGATTTTTTATCTATTAATTCAAAACAAAGGAGCACATGTGATATAAAATAATAAGTAAAAACTGAAGCGGAAATTTTTGTTCTGCAGTTTTCGACTGACCATACAAAGTGATCAGAAAATGCAAAAATAGTCAAGTCCAAAAATGAAACAGATTCTGATGAATCACTGCTCTGAAAGAGACCTGTTACTTTTATTACATTATTTCATTTTAGTTTTATTTGATCTGCACTCTGAACATTTTAGCCCACTGTGTTTGCTTTGGCAATACACCTTTTACTCCTACAAGATACAATGTCTATAATTGCTGTCAATGTTCTAACAGATTTTAGTATTTATAAACTACCAGCATTTGCTTTAATTATTGGAATATGTTAGTATTATGAGTAAGAAGAAAAAAATGTGATTCTTAAATAAGCTGAATGTGAACTGCCTGAGGTATACTACAAGGCAAAATACCCCCAGCTGTTTAATACATGTAAAAAGTAATTATATACAGCCCTGAGTTGCTCACAAAATGTACCATTATTTATTTAGGAGAAAAAGGTCTTTGTTGTACCAGGACTATTGGACTGTTTTACCTGTCCTGGCATACGTATCTGTCTCCATGTGCCTAAAATATTCTAGTTTATTATTCTGTGGGGAAAGGAAAACTATGCTGGTAAAACTGCCCGTACTACGGGTAGGACCAGTTTGGTATAATTGTTATAAAAAGTTGGTAAAACCACAAAACTAGTTAATGAGTTTTAATGGTACAGTTATGTATCTTGGAATAAGGAAGAGTTCCCTTATTAGCAGGTTATAAATATCACAGTGACATATGAAATATTAAAAATATAAAAGCACCAAATAGGGACAAATAGGCTTTGTATTTTACTAGTGTTTACAAGTTGCAATTACAAATGTCAGCAATAAAGTTTAAAAATAGAAACAGTGTGCTTCCAAAGAGAATCACCCTGATTTACACTGGACTTAAATGGCTTAGCTTTCCTGTCTTCAGTGTAACAGAAATCCATGCTGAAGTGCTTTGTCGAGCAGGAACCCTCCTATGCATACAAGGCATCTTTGAGGATAAAAATAGTCATTCCCCAGGCCAATTCATCTCTGATAAAACGCCATTAACTTGAGAAGAATTACAGCAATGATTTGTTATACGTCTGAATTAAGAGATGTGGCATGGAACTTACTGTGGAATATTCTCCCATATGGGCCAGAAACAGGCAATGAATTTTGAAGCACCAAGGAAAGAGATCATTGTAAGTGAAGGAGATAATTTAATGGTGGACATTTAAGGTATACAAACATCAGAAGATTAAATGTTTTCCAAAGCAACTTCAATCCTTCCCAATTTGCATATGAGCATTTCTGAAAACATTCCATTTTATTGAATAATTCAATTTCCATGGCTCGTATGGAAGCTGAAATAAATATCAGCACGAAATAATGACTTTATTTGAAAACAAAATACTTATTCTCAGTATCTTATTTTGGGGGTCCAGCAAGCACCAATTTAAAGGGACACAGCTTATAGCAAGAAACGAGAGCACACTGTGCCTCATATCAGCATCTGAGACTCATTCCTATTTCTTGCTCCAGTTACACATGGTAGACGGTGTGTGACATTCAGCCACAGGTCCAGGCATCTCAGTTTGTCTTTAAATATACTTACTACTGTTTCAGTAAGGAAAATATTATATTTGGGGTATCTTGACAAATTATCCTTCAAACATTGTGGAAAAATATTTCCTTCCTCCAGTCTGACCATGATCATAGATTGGCTATAGATGAAAATTATTCCTAGTTCAAAACGGCAAATAAAAGTAGAGACATTGGATTCCTCAAGTAACTCATTACTTCATACACTTACAAGGACTTTTATATTGCTTTTTGATAAAAACAGAATGAATCATACTGACTTAAAATTACACAGGAAACAGCACAATGGGTTATGAGTTAGATGGGCAAATAATCTGACGTTGGTCTCCGCTATGTACAATTATTTTTTTTTCGCAGACCAAAATATTAGCCTTTTTATAGTCATTTGTCTGAAAAACAAACTAACGGGTGATGAAGTGAAGTTCCATAAAAATACATGTGGTTTTTGTACTGGTAACGTAGAATCTCTCTCTCTCTCTCTGTAGATATGTATACTTTGTTCATAATGTGAATAATAAGACTATTCAAAGTGACTTCAGATAGGACTGGAAAAAATGTTTCCAGTATAGTTCTACACATAACAAAATAGAACTCTGAAAAAAAAACCTTGCATAGGAATAATCCCAAATATTTGGTTTGATGGATTTTCTCTAAAGCACCTCTCAGTTTGCAACTGAGAAGTAGTAGTGCTAGATTAACTGGACCATTGGTATGCCATAATCTCTTTATTTTCTTTTTCCTTTGAAACTTTTCTTACAGATTTAAATAATTAATATAATTTCATTATTTCACATAAAAAAAATTACACTGATACATGGCAAAACGGCCATGTTGGGGGTTTTGCATATTCTTGGATTACTCTACATACTCATTAATTGTTTCTCATATTTGATACTTGTTTTTGTTTCATTAATTTTATCATTGGAATATTTTTTGTCTGCTTTCTCTATTTAAAATTCCCCTTAGCCTTCATACATGAGAATTGCCCATGTAGTTGTCAATGAGAAGGACATATGCCTTGCTTTATTCTCTCATAAAAATGCTTTTGTAGTCAGTCAGAGTTCTGAAGCAATTACTGAATATATTATCACTTTTATTGGGAATTAATACATTACTGTTGGAAGCCTTGGTGCGTTGCTCAGAGAAGGGCAACGAAGCTGGTGAAGGGTCTAGAGAACAAGTCTTATGAGGAGCAGCTGAGGGAACTGGGGCTGTTTAGCCTGGAGAAGAGGAGGCTGAGGGGAGACCCCATCGCGCTCGACAACTACCTGAAGGACGGTTGAAGCGAGTCTTTTCCCAAGTAACTATCGTAGGACAGAGGAAATGGCCTCAAGTTGTGCCAAGGGAGGTTTAGACTGGACATTAGGAAAAATTTCTTTACTGGAAGAGTGGTCAGGCCTTGGAACAGGCTGCCCAGGGAAGTGGTGGAGTCACCATCCCTGGAAGTATTTAAAAGACGTGTAGATGAGGCGCTTAGGGACATGGTTTAGTGGGCATGGTGGTGTTGGGTTGACGGTTGGACTCGATGATCTTAGAGGTCTTTTCCAACCTTAATGATTCTATGATTCTATGATTCTATGTTGATCCCCTTCTAAAATAAAATAAATAAGTAATGACGAGTGTTATTTTTTAAAAGTATGATTTATGCCACCGTTCATCACATGCCATTAGAAAAAACTACACAATTAGAGATCCAAGCAGCAGCTCTACTAATGTCAGCTGTCTGCCAAATGTTATGTTATGCTTGCACTTTAATTTAATAACTGTAAAGCAAGAAAGGAAGATATGCAACTTGGTTTTTATCAATCTGGAAAACTAAGGTTTAGAAGAAAACCTTGTTTCTAAATCAGATATTCTCTACCTTTTTTTCTCTTTCAGCCTTAACCGGCAAATACTTAGCCTAAATTCTATATACCTATTTCATATTGAAAGAGTGCTAAGTAAGTAAAATGCTTTTCACTTTTTCTATATGAACATGGACATTAATTTGAAGAGTATCTATAGGTAGCACAGAGGAAAACTACCTTTTCTAGTTTTTAGGTCTCTGTACTTCCCTTATGGACTATTTTGGCAGCAGTTTTTGCATATATACCCTTTCGCAGGTACGTGCCATTACTCCTTGTTCTTCTGTATATGACTTATGGAGGATCACCCAGCAGCATATAGCATCCTTAATTGTAGCATTACACAAAAAAATTCCAAGAAAAGTTTGTTATAAGCTGTAGGTCTAACTCAATACCCTATCAAAGAGCAAGGACCTGCCCATTTGCATTTCCTTTCCATTTAAACAAGCTCATTTTTTGATACTAGTTTCAGTAGGCAGGCAATATTCTAAAGGGAAGTCCCATAAAATATTCACATTACAAAAATCTTACACCTGATTATTTCTCATATTGATTGTGTGATCCAATGAAAACTAACATTTTATACCTTTTCATGAACCTTTTGCCCTGGCTCTATTCCTTCAATATGCTCTGATTCGGCAGGCCCTTCACCAGCTGCCATTTTCCTTTGAATGTGTGCATTTTGTTCACGCAAAGCTACAATCTGCAAAAGAAAGAAAATAAGTGGTCAATATACATAAGAAACCCCAAAATTACTGAGCAGACAATTTATTAAATCTATTAACATTTTGATCCTCTATTGGCCATTTGTAGCATTTGCAAAATTATGTCTATACATGCAGAGTGGTTTAAAAAGCAAACATACTAATAATGACTAAAGGCCATTAAGGATACAAAGGAACCTATAAATGACAGGATAGGCAACATTGTCTTGTTTTATCTCCTATCCTTACTTTGTGCTAGGATACTTTTTTTTCTTAGCTTGAAAGATGGAAGAACTGTTAGGCATAGGATTTGTAACACTGCAAGACCAAAACTCGTTCTTTCATATAGAACACAATGGATGCCAAACTGGCGTTATAGGAAAACAATGCCAAAAGGGTATGAATCAAAACCAAGTGATGTAAAACAAAGTGCTAGCTTTCTGTCAGCTTCCCATCTGTTAGTAACTGCAACATACGTTTTAAGTGTTTTTTGTTAAGAAAAACATGTACATAAAAGTCCTCTACTGTGGTATTCATTGACTGTTTTAGTGCATATACAAGTAGGTTTTATTGTATTTAAAATACTGTTTTATTTATTGGTACTGCTATTAAAAATCCCATGCAGCTACCAGAAAATAAGCTGCTTTCTCTCCGACTTTGTAGCTTACTCTCAGACAATACACAGGATGGAAAGATTCAGGTCCTAAAAAATTTTTGCATGGTATACTATGGTAAGTTGGAAGATCTGGCTAATATAAAACTTTGTTATTTTGATAAATTGCACAGTTAGATCTCTCTGTACTGTTCCGCTTTCATGAGCGCATACAATAAATTATTTACTGAATGGATAACATTGTGTATTAAACACAGTAGAACACTGGTAGGCTGTAGAGATGCCATTTTTGGAAAGCTGGTCTAAATTTAAAGGCTTCTATCACTGTATTGTGTCTGCATAAATCCTGAGTCAGAAACACCCTAAAACACTGTCCTGTCCTAGAATACAAAAGCATGGGGTAGGAGGGAAAGTTTAAGGCAGTACTACCTGGTAAGTGTGTACAGCAGCCAATTTAATTTAATTTAATTTAATTTTAATTTACATTAAAAATATATTTACTTTGATCTGAATACTTCAGTTTGAAAAAAGTTTTTTTCAAATGTGTTTTTCAACTTATGTTTAAGTTCTGATTGTAAAGACTATTTGAATTAGCTCTGACCAGCATTTGAGATCTCAGGGACACACCACTTTAAACAACTCTTCCTTAACATAAAGTCGAAAACTGTTGTGATATGAGTCAGCCTGATTCACTGCTCACTAAATTCCATGTTACAGCCCTTGTAGAACTTGTGTGACTCCCACTGATTTCAGTGCCAAGACCGAGACTTGAGGGCAACATTTCACCCAAAGCAATTATAGGAAAATAGAAGAGTGGGAATTAAAACTCTCTGAGACAATCTGTGTCTTTTGAGGTTGTACAAATACACTGAGCTCTAAAACATTTTGCTTAAATAAGATAATTAGGTCTGTCTTAAATAACAGAAAAAGGTCTTTATAATCTCATTAGCATAGATTCCCTTTGTACACAGTAATCGGCAATTTAATATCTTTTTTTTTCTGAATAGCTTCACTTATTTCTTTATCTTTATGGTTCAAATGGTTCTCAAATCTAAACTAAAGAAATTATGGTTCCCACCACGCAAAATTAGCCATCAATTAGTGCTAAAAGTGACTTTCAGGTAGGTTAAGGGAGATACTTCAATGTATATATTATAAAATTGTGATTTATGGAGAGTAATTATACATCATGTGAAAAAAACATAAAATCACAGGATATGTTAACTGGCAGCCAACAATAGATCTGGATTTTCATAGGACAATCTTTCACTGATCCATTAAAATGCAGACTTCCCTGTGCCTTCATTTTGAATTATCACCTGTGTCTAATACAAATCCTTAATTGTCCTTTAGCTCAATAAGACTATTGTATAAACACTACTGCAAAATTTTATAAATTCATCACATATTCCACATAGTTTGTTTTTTCTTAGCCTCTGCTGGTTTTTAGATATCCTAGGATCATCACTTTACAAATAAATAAGTAATTAATAGTAAAATAAAATTCATTTATCCCTTCAAAGTGAAAGGCAAATAAAAGAACACAATATCGTGTATCATTATTTTGGGGGATTCAGTTGATTTCTGAATGTTTGGGAACAATTTCTTTGCCAGAAATCCATCATTGTTAAAGCTTATTGTTTCAATGGTTTTATTACTGTAACGAATGCAGAGTAACTATATACAGGAACAACATGGAGTTTGAAGTCTTAAAAGTTTCAGCTCTAGGGTAGCCGTCAGATTGTGAAGAACCACACAGCTAACTTGCTTTCATACTTGTTCTCTCTTCTTGATTTAATGAATAAATTAAGGCAGAATTAATGCTCCTAAGGAAGCACGGAAACTCTCCTGTGTCTTACAAATAAACATGAATTTTTACTTTTCGGTTTATTGAAGCAAAAGGTTTTTAATTGCTATCACACTCATGTTTATTACTTACTTATTTCTTATTTAACTTGAACTTTCAATAATGTGCAATTTATTTGCAAACATGCCAATTTAATCACGGAACAATTTCTGTAACTTTCTACACAGGTAGCCAAAACACGCCTGAATGGATGATGATGATGAAATAGGTGAAGGTGAAGACACAAACGACTCTACATTTTTTCCTAGATAGCCTCTGAATCGTCTGAAAATTCTAATGATCATTACAACAGCAGACAGTGATAATAGCACAGATCTAGGCAAGAAACTGATTGCTCAATATAGATAAAACTCAGTAATACTACTTTTGAGAAATACCTACTTCTTATATTGATGCTTTTATGTTTATGATATCCAACTTAACATATCTACAACAAAACATGCCTACAGACAGCTTTCCAAGTACCTACATACTATTTAACCCTCTAAGGTAATAATTCTTGATTTAATTCTTCATGATTTTCATGCTAAGCTCTCTTTTGAAAAAGTAAAGGGTAACATTCTTGAGGATGGAGTAATTTCTGCTAAAACCAAAACAAAATCCAAAAAATTAAAAGACAGATTAATAGAAAAGAAATGTGCATAGATACCCCAAACTGGACAATCAACCTAAATATTCAAGTCCAAATATTACTTGCTAAAATATGATCAAATATCTCACATCTTTTTTTCTTATCAACTTCTGATCGTGGACCTCAAATGATTAGATTCCTTTTCTAAATTGCTATCACAGACATTATTTTCCTATTTAGCACACTTGTCAAGATTTGACCTGGACCACAGCAACACATTTCAATGTGACTGTAATCTGAAGTGAGTGTAAAATTGCAGAGATGCTAGTCTCTCCATAGTTAAGTCTAAAGATAGCTTCCTGTCACAAGTCTAAATTTGGCTCCCTGCTAACTTTGCCAAGCTCAGCCAGCTAAACGGAAAAGTTGTTTTTTGATTGAGAAAAATGAAACAATGGTTGTGAACTTAAGAAGATTAAAATGTAGAGTATTATTTTTCTAGTTGGACCTTTCTAATTTGTATGGCTTAAGTCCATAAAAATATCCTATAACCTAAAGAAACACTCCTTTAGCTTGTTCTCTTCTCACAGGCATGTTGGCTGTCAACATTCTTCTCACTTTTGTAGTCAGTTTTTGTGACTGACAAGGGACAATTTTATAACACCGAAACTTTTAAGAACTTCCATCTATTTAGATTCTGTTTTCTGGATTTCAAAGGTACATAGAAACAAGCAGCAAAATTTCTGTAGATCTTTGTCTCAACTCTAAAATCTCTTCAACTTTCCTAAACCCCAGCTTTCTGAATTACAGTTCTGGTAAACATCCCCACTGTATTACCAATATAAATTCCCTCCAAAATCTTAGTAGGATTTGTGTACATTATTTACAGACATTCCTGAATCATACGTTTTTTATGAAGTTAGGATTCAAGATTTCAGATTCAAAATTACCACTGGTCTTCATTTCCATAAATGACCAAATCTACATCTCATGCCTGTACACTTGAAAAATAGTAGTCTGAACTCAGGTGTTAAGGAAATATTAATTTCAAATATTAAAATACACCATAGAGCAGGATATCAATACATAAGCCAGAACTGATCTGAAGAAGTACCTGATGTTATAGAACCATACCCATCACCCATGCTGGTGAAAAAGGACAATTAATAAGAAAATAGTTTCATAAGGAATAAAGATTACAAGACTATAAATCAGTAAGCAATAGCATAAATTCCATCAAATTAGCAAGAGAAATAGTCTGATTACTATCTGTAGTAGGACACTAAGACATACAAATCAAAGAAATAAACGATTCACATTGTAGTTGCAAAAACTACCAAACTGTGAAGGATAACCAAAATGAGAGAAAATACCAGCACACAAAAAATGGCAACATTTGAACTAGGCTCATTGGACAAAATAAAAATAAACTGGAACACACAAACTATTCATGAGGATGCAACAGATTTATTCATGGTGCCAAGTCTCTCACAAGACAAAAAAAGAAGCATTTCCAACCACGTTTACTTACGGCATTTTACAAAATAATAATTAATTTTAAATTATTTGAGAGGTGTGAGGTCAGAATCCATTTCTAAACATATAAAATCCTAAATGACTGGGTACTTCTGCTGCTAAAACTTGATCAGCTCTCTACTCCCAGTTGTTTGAGTGGCCATTTGTTACCTCATTATAGTTTGAGGCTTCAGATAATTAACTTCATGATGAATACATAATATACTTACCTATAACAGCAGTGAAAAGGAACTATCATTTTATTACACTTGTTTTATTAACAGTTGCCAACTATAGATCCATTTTTTTATTGCGCACTTGTTGGTCTGTTCTGTCTAATGTCATTCAAAAATCTGTCTTACATTTACAGAACTTCGGTCCTGTCTCTTCACTTCTGATAAACATATCTCGAGCATCTGTGGAAAAGCTTTTATTA